GGTCATGATCCCAGGGTCCTGGGATCGAGTCCCACATCAGGCTCCCTGCTTGGCGGGAAGCCTGCTTCTCCCTCTCCCACTCTCCCTGCTTGTGTTCCCTCTCTCGCTGTCTCTCTCTGTTAAAAAATAAACGAAATCTTAAAAAAAAAGAATCGATTTTAAGTATTTTGACATGAACTCAACTTGATAGCAAGTAATGTTCTAGTCCAGCTGAGAGTGACAGGGCAATCTGACCTGGTTTCTTCAAAAATGAATTTATGTCTCTACCATATTAGAAATCAAAGTCCCTAGCAGTGATTTCTCAAGTATTTGCTTTTTGGGGCTGGATTTTAACTAACACCAAAGAGAAGACAGGGGTAATTATTTTTATTTATTTTTTTTAAAAGATTTTATTCATTTATTTGACAGAGACACAGCCAAGAGAGGGAACACAAGCAGGGGGAGTGGGAGAGGGAGAAGCAGGCTTCCTGCTGAGCAGGGAGCCTGATGCGGAGCTCGATCCCAGGACCCTGGGATCATGACCTGAGCCAAAGGCAGACGCTTAACCCATGGAGCCACCTAGGCGCCCCAAGGGTAATTATTTTAATGTGGTTGAAATTTATGTCACATTTCTTTCAGAACCTTCCAAAAACCCTTCATATGACACTACAATTCACAACAAATTATGGTTACCTTAATAACTTAATCCATTTGATAAGAATGTACTGAGAGTACTCTATTAGCAACACAAACTATTTTTAGCTGCCATCAGTGACTAGATAATTGTCTTCCTGTTTATTTCAATTCCCAGTTGAACGTAAGTGGTGTATGTGGGGTCTCTGGAAGCACCCATCAGATCGAATATTGCCAACAAAGAACAAACCTTGGGAGAAAGAGCTTGAGGGAATTTTGAAACACCATGAAATAGACATGATAAGAGAAATTAAAGATTATTTCTCAAGATTTATTGCATTTACTCATTGGTATTCTCTTATGTTTTTTCATCTCACTGTTTTCTATGGCTTTCTCTAAATAGATCTCTAAATGGAAGTCTCTTTGCTTATAGAGTATACATTCAAGCAGACTACTTGTCACTGGCTGGGACAAAGCAGGGAAAAGCTGGTCTTCTTGCCTTTCCTTTCCCACCCAGGTGCCTTTTACTCACCTCTTTGTTCCCCTCCTGTAGGACTGCTGGGCCATTTCGATGCTTCATTCCCCACTACCGCTCACCCTCTCACTTAATTCTCACCGAGGGTTGTCAGATGTAGCAAATAAAAATACAGGGTGCCCTGTTAAATGTGAATTTCAGATAGACAATATTTTTAGTATAAGTCTGTCCATGCAATACTTGAGACATATTTACACTAAAAGAATGTTATTTATCTGAAATTCAAATTTAACTCATAGTCCTGTACTTTACCTGGGAACCCTACTCTCACCCTGTGGATTACAGGTGGTTCTAACAGCTGCCTGTCCCTCTTACTGAGAGCTCTACCTGCTCAAGTCCCAGCCTAGAAGAATACCTAAATCTAAACATCACCATTTCCTCACACTGGTGTATGTTCCTCATTCCCACAGGGGCACCCTTAGATGTCTTTCACTCTAGGAATTCCAAATTACTGAAGGACAGCTGAAATACCAGATCTGAACTCCATTTAGCTTTGCCCTCAATTACTCTGGTAATATTAATTTTTAGCCAATGAATGTAAGACTCACCATGATGGACCAGAATTCAGGTGCCCATATAACACACTCTTCCTTTCCATTCCTGCTTTACAATGAAACTATTAGGGGAAAAAAAGAAATCTAACGTGAACATACATGATGCATTTTATGGTGCATTAGGACAATTTTTTTAAAAAGTGACAAACCTGTTAAAGGACCAAAGAGCAAGTCATTCCATTGAAGTGCAAACCTGAAGACAAAAATTAATTTAACATGAAGAACAAGGCACCAGAGGTGAGGTAGTGCCAATGTCCTGAGAGAATCGTTAACTCAGCCTTCCCCTTTGAGATCTTCTCATTCTGGGGTCTAGAGAACAGCAGTAAGGAAAAGAGAGTATAAATCCAGGAGCATGTCAGAGGGAAGCACAAAGCACTTCAGAAGTATTTTTCAGTGGCAAGAGTCAATGCCCTCTCAAAGCCTTCATTTGTTTGTAGCTGACTTAAAAGATACTGTCAATCCAGAGCACAACTTTTTTTTTGTTTTCTTCAGAGCACAGCTTTTAAAAGAATTCCTCTTCCCGTTGTCTCGGACCTTGCTTGACAGGTAGCTTTTTCTTTTCCACTCAGGTTATCAGAACACAAAAGACAACCTAAGTGTTTGGTACCAGCCGCCTTCCTTCCTTCAGATCTCTGCATTTGTGAGGGTCCTGTGTCAGTGTGATTTGCCCTAAACAGTCCTAGAATCCCCCTACTCCTGGACAAAGAACAGATGCACCTCAATTCCTGTCAAGCAGAAATTAGGATTTTTTAAAAAATTTTTATTCTTTAGTTATCTCTACACCTAATGTGGGGCTTGAATTCACCACCCTGAGATCAACTGTCACATCTTCCGACTGAGCCAGCCAGGAGCCCAAGGCTTGGTTGGTTTGATTGATTTAAGATTTATGTATTTGAGAGAGAGCACAAGTGAGCGGGGCAGGGGAAGAGGGAGAGAGAATCTCAAGCAGACCCCTCGCTGAGCATGGAGCCCTACTCAGGGCTCTATCTCAGGATCTCAGGATCATGACCTGAGCTGAAACCAAGTCAGAGGCTTAAACAACTGTGCCACCCAGGTGCCCCCCAGGGTTTTATTTTTGAATAGTATTAAATAGTTCAAAAATAAGGTAATTTCCCTACCCAATTTTCTACACTGATAAGCCATTTTGCAAACGTGGGCCCTTTAGAGAGGTACTCCCTTGTTTCTTTGTTCTCATTCTACCCCCTTTCTTTTATGTGGCTAACAAAGTTCCTAAATCTAAATACTGGATGCTCTACCATTCAGTCTGAATTTTTATGAACTACTCTAGCCTGAATCAGTGTACAGAAGAAAGAATATTTGGCTGGGAATCAGAGGTGGGTTACAGTTGAAATGTCTTCCCTAACTAGCTGTGGGATCCACAGAAGCCTTTACATCTTTCTGGATCTGTCCCTCCTTTATAAAATGCTACTGTTGAACTTTGTTCTTCAAGGTTCACTCCTACTCTGAAGTTCTAGGATTCCTTTTGTGTCCTCCCCCATTTCCACGTGCTCCTTGTGAGGTATTTGCATTAGGCTTTTAGATAAGCTTATTTAACAAATGCTTTTTTCTTTTTAAAAATTTTCTGAAAACTAGGATAGTTCCTTTAGAAAAAGTTTAATTCACTGAAAGCACAGTTTTCTAAGTATGTGGTTTATGAAATTTAGAAAATAAGCAGATTGGATTTATGAGAACTTTCTGAGCCTCAGCATCTTCAGCATTATCAATTTATTAAACCCCTTCCTGGAGAGCTATTTTGTCTAGGCATGCAGCAGTGTAGGATTCAGTAAATGGATAAGGAGATGAAACATCCCCTCCTGTGTTTTTCCTGGATAGTTTCTCTCTGCATACTACACATCCTACTCATATTTGTGTAGACAGTCTTATGTAAATGAGGTAATTTACTTGTTTATTTCATGTAAATAATTCTTTTTAAAAAGATTTATCTATTTATGAGAGCTCTAAAGAGAGAGCATATATGCGAGTGGGGTGGGGGCAGAATCTTCAAGCAGACTCCCTGCTGAGTGAGGAGCCAGACACAGGGCTCAATCCCATGACCCATGCATCATGAGACCCATGACCATGATATCATGACCTGAGCCAAAACCAAGAGCCGGAAGCTTGACTGACTGAGCCACCCGGGCATCCCTAGATGATTATCTTTTTAATGTTAATATTTTTTGATATGTTGTAAATACATCAATTTCGAGTATTTAGTGTGATAAATTTTGACTAATATACACATACACCTAAGTTAGCATCATCCAGATCAATATATAGAACTTTCTATCACCCTCCAGAAAGTTCTCTTGTGCCCTTGCCTCAGGCAACTACTATTGTGATTTTTATTGCCATAGATTGATTTGGCCTATTCTTTTTTTTTCTAAAGATTTTATTTATTTATTTGACAGAGAGAGAGACAGTGAGAGAGGGAACACAAGCAGGGGAAGCTGGACAGGGAGCTTGATGCGGGGCTCAATCCCAGGACCCTGGGATCATGACCCGAGCCAAAGTCAGCCGCTTAACGACTGAGCCACCCAGTCGCCTCTGGCCTATTCTTGAATATTAAACCATACAGTATGTATGTATGACTAAGTAAAGAACATCAAGTATTGGGACATGGATATTTCCAGCTAAAATCAAGGTCCAGTGAGGTGTATGCTGGCTGGCAAGCAGGTAAAATAGAGGCAAATATGAAAAGTTATGACTTGTTAAACTAAGTCAAACTTGATTAAATGAAAAAAAAATCTGTATCCTTTAAAAAGCTCTCATATACTGAGTGATGGAATTAATAGTGTTCACAAAATATTGAACCAACCTGAAAAAGGCATTGTAGAATGAAGAACAAATGACCACAGACTAAAGAGAACGAACTGCTCCTTTTCCTCCAACCCAAATCATTGGGTGGTAAGTAAAAGTTGCTAATAAGCTTCTGATATCTTGGCCAGTTTATCACAGAGGACATTAAGTGATTCAGTGTGAGCAGGAGATAATCTGTACAGGATGAGATGATACTGGAAATGGAAGGGGTTTAGAAACAACATGAGCAGCCTAAGCCTAGATGCACTGATTCTGCTATTGGGGGACCTGGAAGGTGAGGTCAGGAGTAGCAAAATGGATATCAGAAGCACTTGTTGCCCAAGTAAGTGGAGTAGCCGGCCCACCAGGAGAAACGTAGGCTTCACTCTGCCTTGAGTTCCCCAAGTCTGGACAAGTCTCCAAAAACAAATGCAACTGGTTATGAAAAGATTTTATATTTTATTTCATTAAAAGAAGTCAATCTGTTGACATGCAAACCAACTGGACCAAACAGGACAGAGTGGATCACACAGGAGCACTGCTAAACAAGCATCGACTGAAGTGCTCTGATGCCAACCAGAAGGGCACCCAAACACAAGTTTAGCATGGGGGAGAGTCTTCATGTCTTTCGCTGAAGGCAAAGCCATTTGGTTGGCACTTCATAGGAGTATCTTTCCACTGTGTTTTCATCATATGGTATGTGCCACGAGTCTCCAGTTGTTTGCACCACTGTGTCATAACAGGGGATATGCTGTTGAATTAAAAAGGGAACCAAACATTGAGAACAACACTAAGGGGTTACCTGGCCATTTCCCTTTCTTTTCTGACAACTTCTCAGTTTGCTTCAGTATTCTCTCTTACTTAACAATGGATTTTCAGAGAGCAGGTAGCTCTGTGAAGATGAACCCTAGAATTAGGGGTCCCTTTTTGGGGGGTGGGTTCATTTTTAAGGTTAAAGATTCTCTGTAGTATTACGTTTATAGGCGATAGTATCTCTTTACTTGCCTTTATCAGCTTTGTATGTGAGAGAAAAATTTCATATATTCAAAAGTAGAGAAATGGTATAATGAACTCCCAGGTACCACCCAGTTTCAACCATTACCAACACATGGCTAATTTTATTTCATCCATACCACTCCCCATGATTATTGTGAAGCAAATCTCAGATATTATATCACTTCTTCTGTAATATTCAATATGTACCTTTAAAAGATAAGATCTATTTTATAAATAAAAGTTCAATACTATTATTACACTTAAGAGTTAATAATTCCTTATCATCAGATATCTACTATCACATTTCCCCAATTATTACATGTGCATACATGTATTTTACAGTTGATTTCTTTGAACAGGAGTTGAAATTAGGTTATGACACCGTGACTGAATTATCTCTTAATTTTATTTTTTAAATTTTATTTTATTATATTATGTTAATTACCATACATTACATCATTAGTTTTTGATGTAGTGTTCCATGATTCACTGTTTGCTTATAACACCCAGTGCTCCATTCAGTACGTGCCCTCTTTAATACCCATCACCAGGCTAACCTATCTCTTAATTTTAAATAGTGCTTTACTTTTCATCTCTATTCTCGTAATCTTTTGTTGTTGAGAAAACCAAGCCAGTTGTCCTATATCGTTTCCCACAGTCTTGATTTTTTGTATAGATCTGTTGTTTTGTATGTTTTTTGGCCACTGGACCATATTTACCATTAACTAGTGTATTTTTCCATAATAACTCGCCTTTGGATTCTCTCCCTTTGCTTTCACACAAGAGACATTCCTTGTATTTGCAGGAATCTAAACTAGAGTCAAAGGAGAACTCAGTTGAGACCATGCTGCAGAAGTGGATTAACAGGAAAAAGGAGTTGCTTAGCAGAAATACTATGAACCATAAAGGATAAGGAATTTTCAGCTATTGCAAATAAATAGGAAAATAAAAAACATGTATGAAAATAAAAAACAAGTTATAATCAGTGACATAATTGAAGTCACAATTGATGACATCTCAGATGTTTTCACTATGTCAATTAATGTGGGGCTGGTCTATGAAAACTTTTGCCCTGGCCGACTTTCTGTTTCCAGAAACTGGCTAATTCCAAATACCAACCTACAGCTGAGAAAAATAAAGCATTTAAAAGCTCCAACTAGTAGCAAAATTCTTTGTGCCACACTCTGTTGACATTATGTAGAGAACAAATAACATACCTGAAAGGTTATTTTTGATCCTGCAACCCTATTAACAATTGCTAGCTGATGTCCCTGCTGCCACTTAAAGAAGAGGCGCTGGGTCTTGGCATCACGTAGACAGGCCTTGTGGTCCCGCATCAGATCTTTTGTGATAAATTTGCAGTGGTCCCCCGAGTGCAGTGTGGCATACAGAAGGAACGGATCATCCTCTGAGCTGAGCCAGGCAGAAGAAAGAATGCAATCACACACAGCCCCAAGGAGGCAGAGGATAGCACTCTTTACCATGCTTTTTACTTCTTATTCCACTTTCCTCAGAGGTGCTCTGCATTCTTTCTTTTTTTTTTTTAAGATCTTATTTATTGAGAAACAGAGAGAGAGAGAACACAAGCTGGGGGAGGGGCAAAGGGAGAGGGACAAGCAGACTCCCGGCTGAGCAGGGCGCCCCATGCAGGAGTCGATCCCAGGACCCTGGGATCATGATCTGAGCTGAAGGCAGATGCTTAACCGACTGAGCCACCCCGACGCCCCAGTGCTTTCATTCTTAAGTGACATGATCCCGGTGATACTTATAAACCAACCACCTTCAAGTCTTTTGGTAGTAGACAGCACTATCTAGAATACAAATGGAAAGCTAAGGGGAAGGGAATGCAAATGCTCAACTTGGCTCAGTTGGGTTCTTCCACTAAAATGGAAAATTCTAACAATAATTCCCTCTTCACATTCAAAAGCTGGTTCTCTGTGTGCCCCGGGTGTTGTCCTGTTGGCCTTATCCACCACAGAGCACACCCTTCCCCCCACTCAAACTCGAAAAATGTTCATAATATTAACAGGACAGGATGACACTTCCTTGCAAGCTACCAAAAATAATGGGCTGCCTCAAAGCTAAAATTGGTATCTCAAAGCAGCTTCTGGGAAGTCACCCAGATCTGCAACAGAAGGCATCACCTGCTTTGAGAAGAGCCAGTGACTCAGAGTCTCCAAAGGACCCTCAGCTTCAGCACTCAGCACTGGAGGAGGTACGCTGTAAGAACAGCAGGGCCGCCTTGGCTCAGGAGACTCAGACCGCAGGGATAGGTCTTATGCCCAATCCAAATGACCCAAAGTGAGACCACTTGAGGCTTATTTTATACTAAACTATTTCAAATGAAATGATAAATGACTGGAATACATCTGCCTTAAAAATCTTCAGGAAAAAGAGAGAGGAAAGAAAAAAAAGTGGGGGCTATATGGAACAAGATGAGAAAAATGATGGTAATCGTTGGAGCTGGGTGACAGTTACATGGGGATTCACTATACCGTTCTCTGTAGTATATGTTTGAAAGGATTTCTTTGGCAAATTAGTGGAACATAGAATTAATGTTAAAAACTTAAACATTCAAATCCAAAGCCTCAGAAGGTCACTTTAAAGTCCCAAACCAAGCATGAGATCAATTTCCATCAGGCTTTCTGGTTTTACCTTTGCATTTCTCCAATTCCACCACCTAAGGAAAAGAATAGTAATGATGACAGCACTACATACATGCTTTGCATGTACTTGGTGCCCTGCCACAGTTTTATATGTATTATTTACAGGTATTCTCTCATTTAATCTTCACAATACCCCACTGGGGGTTACATATGAAGACGACACAGAGAAGGGAAACACCTTCCCAGATAGGAGGTGGCAGGCCCACGTTCTGAATCTGGGTAGACTAATGAAAGACTGTGCTCCTCTTGTCTACCCACTGTTGCCTAAAGTGAGTGTGTGCCGAGCGTTATTGTTGTCGTCTACTCTTAGAGACAGAGAAGTAACCCTTCCCGTGAATACATAAAAGGAGTTAGCTAAAGAAAAAAGGGATTGGTTTGGGATCTGAATGAGGGGTTAGCCTCCTGCTCCATGCATTGAGAGCCATTTTACCTTTTTAGGAATAGATAATTTGGGGAATACTGACAAATCCTGAAGCTATCACATTCAACATAACGAAACCTAGACCTGGGGCTGAGGGTACACACGTTATCCATGCAAAGTGGGAAATAAACTTTTGTCAGCATAAATCATATGTAAAACTAAGTGTATTTTAAAACTTTACATGTACTGTTGAGGATCTGTGCCCCTCTGGAGTAGATGCTTTCTTCTTTATGGACACTGTACCATTTTGTCACTGACCTTGTTTTACATGTTCCTTTGGCTTCCTGAGAAGTTGTCGCTCATAGCAACATTCCCTTTACAGTTTGAATAAAATCCAGGTTCCTCGCTTGCCTACCAGAGCCCACAAGGTCTTCTTTACTGTGGTCCCTGCCTTCTCTCTGACCTCAGAACCTAGCACTTTTCTTCTTGCTGCACAGCTCATCTGCACTGGTTTGCTTGCTTTCTTCAAACATGCCAAACACATTCCTGCTTCATAGCTTTTTGAACATTTGCTGTTCCCTCTGCTTGATATGTTCTTCCACCCACCCTCCCATTTTCTCAAATGACTCCTTCCCCTTGTATCTGCCCTCTCCCAACGGCTATTCCTGACCACCCCACCCGCTACCCTCTGACCTACCCCCTACCTAATCCTTTTTCACCTATTCACTCTGCTTTATTGTTTAGCATTGATCCCTGCCTGGGCTTACATTACCTTTTTATTTGTTTAGCTATTTATTTTAAGTCCCAAGAAGGTAGGGACTTGGTGAACAATTGTGGTTTCCCAAAAACACAGAAGGTGCTCATACATATATAATATTTGTTAAATGATCTACGTAGGACCTTAGCAAGCATTCTGGGTACTCATCTCACTTCTGACTTTAGCTTCCTCCTATTTCTCCTTTATCCTGATTTCCTCATCTATTTAAATTTACCCTGCTGTAGGAAGTAGAGTTTTGTCAGCTGCCTCAAATCTTTTTTTTGGATTCATACGCATGCACTTTAAAAATGGCGAAAATAGGTAACTAGCAAGCAGATGACTTGGGCCGAGTGTAATTCACCTAGTACCTTCAGTACTTACATGTTGTCAGCAAAGAAGCACCTGGCTTGCTTTTGCACCTTTTTCATCTCATCCTTTCTCCACCTCCAGTGCTGTGTTAGCATGTGCTTTCGGCCCAGGACCAGCAGCTGCACATTCTGCTTGGCTAGTTGAGAGACCACATCCAAGAGCTAGAAAACACAAAGCCAGTCCCCAAGAGGGCCAAGGGAAGAATCTCAAGTAAATGGAGTGGTTCTTCCAACTGGTAGTCTCAATGGTAAAACACTCTTTTCTGGTAATGGGTGAAAAAACATTCCTTAAAATAATTTTCCATCTTTGTAAGCCTGAAGAAAATGTTTTCTTATTACAAATAAATGTCTACCACCTGCCTACTGGTTAGGCGACATTTCACTGGGTCCGAGGGCAGAGAGAGTTCTAAGCATAGACAAGATGAGTGGTTTTTATTTTTTTTTTTAAGATTTTATTTATTTATTTGACAGAGAGAGATATTGCGAGAGGGAACACAAGCAGGGGGAGTGGGAGAGGGAGAAGCAGGCTCCCCACTGAGCAGGGAGCCCGATGCAGGGCTCGATCCCAGGACCCTGGGATCATGACCCAAGCCCAAGGCAGATGCCTAACGACTGAGCCACCCAGGTGCCCCAAGGAGTTGTTATTAAAGTGTGTTCCACAGAGTCCACTGGGATAGAGAAAGGGAGGTTCAACGAGGATGGGTTTTAGTCCCCACCCTGTTTTAACCAAAACTGCTCAGCTTTTGTATATTTATATATTGGTATTTTGCATACGTTTCCATTTGAATAAAGGGTTCTACTTTTTTTTTTTTTATAGTTTGTATACGACTGGATTAGATAGCATCTTTTCAGCCAACTTTTCCATGTCATGATTCTGCTGAGACTGCTACCTTTCACTGAAATCCTTTTTTCCACTCAAAGATCTGTCAATTTCTATTCTCTAGTCTCCTTTTCAGTGAATTTACTCCCATTTTCTCTACTTCCCACCCATCTTGTGTGCACATGACTGCCTCTCAAAAGTCTGGATTTTTAGCAAATCTAGTACGTTGGTAAGCTTGCCTACATTCAACCTTTCATAAGGAGAAGTCTATAGATTACTTTTATTGACAACTTACTAAACTAAGCTATAAATGGATATTACTAAGTAAAATAAAAGTTAATGAAAAATTATATTATATAATACTGTATCAGAAATATAAAAGTTCTTTATAACAGTTGTTGAGCCTATGAAAATCAGGAGTTGAAAGTCACTGAATAAGTCATTAATTTTCTTGAGTCTTGGTTGGAAAGGCACTGATTTTATTATTTTTACTTATTTATTTTAAAATATTTTACTTATTTATGTGACAGAGAGAGAGAGTACAAGCAGGGGTAGCAGCAGAGGGAGAGGGAGAAGCAAGCTCCCCACTGAGCAGGGACCCAATATGGGGCTCAATCCCAGGACTCCGGGACCATGACCTGAGCTGAAGGCAGATGCTTAACAGACTTGAGTCACCAGGCGCCCCTAAAAAGGCACTGATTTTAATCTAGCTTCCCTTTACTCATAATTTCTTCCCATGTAGATTTTTAAGATATTTAAAATTCTTTAATCAATAAAACTTCATTTATTTGGTCAGTTGTCAAATATTGCTATAGCACCTGTTATGTATAATATCTGTGTAGACTTTCTAACAGTCTAAGAATGATTTTAGTAAGGGCCAAATTTTTAATATTACTGCTTAATGCTTTGGATTTATATCGTCCATCCTACTCTATTACTAATTTTATTATTTTAGGAAACTGCAGTTGGTTTTATTATCCCTAATTAGTAGTTCTAGAATTAAGACAGAATGGACAAAACTTGCCCACTGAATGTGTGCTAATACATAAGCAGAAAAGTATACCAAGACCATTGTAAGGCCCCTAAACCCAAAGCCTTACAATCAGTAAAATATAATTCTTTCCTTTAAAGCTAGGAATAAAGGCTTCTGTGTTCATTCAACAGTTATTTCCCAGGTCTCACTATGTATAAGGCACATGGTAGGTATCTCAGCCTACAAAATTTTAAAAGACATGGCCCCTGGGGCGCCTGGGTGGCTTAGTCGGTTGAGCATCTGCCTTTCCCTCAGGTCATGATCTCAGGGTCCAGGGATCAAGCCCCATATCAGTTCCCTGCTCAGCAGGAAGTCTGCTTCTCCCTCTCCCTCTGTCTCCTCCCCTCCCCCGCCCTTGCGTGTGCATGCACGCTCTCTCTCTCTCTCTCTCTCTCGCATAAATAAATAAAATCTCCAAAAAAAAGACATGGTCCCTGTCTTTAGTGAGGGAGTGACTATGAAGGCTAGGAAAATATATATGCTGGCTCTACATTTGTTAGGTGGTTAATAAATATTTTCTGATTAGCTGAAGAATATACTCAATCAAAAAAGTTGCTCATTATTGAAAACTTAAAAAATATAGACCAGAAGAAAGACATAGAAGAAACCACTCATACCTTGCCACCCAAAGACTGTTAACATGTATTTACCAGTAGTTTTATTCCATACATTTTTATATCATCTTTTAAGCCATCATTTTAAAAGTTAGGCTAGTAATCAAAAGCAAAAATCTACACTGTAAGAAAGTTTGGCTCATCAATTCAAATACCTCAAAAGACATTGAGAGGTGCATCTCCTTCAGAATGCACTTATAACATTCCTTTCTTTTTAAGATTTTATTTATTTATTTGAGAGAGGGAAAGCATGAGCAGGGGGAGGGGGAGGGACATAGGGAGAGATGGGAAAAGACAAGCAGACTCCCGCAGAGCACAGAGCCCGATGCAGGGCTCCATGCAGGGCTGGATCCCAGGACCCTGAGATCATGCATGACCTGAGAGGAAGTCAGACGCTTAACTGTTTAGCCAACTGAGCCACCCAGGCACCCCTATAACATTCCTTTCCTAAAGCTATGCTGAGATTACAGATTATTTTCAGTGAGCCCAATTACAAATGTCAGACTCAATTCATTAAGAGGAATAACAGTTACTTTTAAATTTTCCATATGAGTTGCCACCAAGTTAAAGATACAAAAAAAAAATTCAAACAAAAACACTTTTTGATACTGATTGCTTATATTTTCATGCAACTGGGAAGACATGGCTTAAAGAAAAACACAATTGGGTCTTCAGAGCTATATGCTGGTTTAGATAAATGGCCTTGAGTTTCCTAATATTAAGTTAAAAATAGGGGCCCAGAGAAGAACAGGAAAAGATTAGCTTGAACTGCTCTGGGGCGCCATCTTGTGGCTCAGAGGTCTCTAGTAGCAGCAGCTCTCTCTCTGAAACAATGCAAACAAAGGAGAGTAAGTGAAAGACACAGGAAAGAAAGATGTGTATACAGAATAAAGGCACTGGCCTGAAACTCTGTAACAGTCTAGCTATGAGCCAACTTCCTCTGGGGTAAATTCCAGGGCTGGATCCAGTGGGCTGGGTCAGAGTCAGAGGTATACTCAGAACAGTAAAGAAAAAGAAAATTTACCCTAACTCTACGTTAGATCAAAAATAAAACTGGGAGGGATTTCCACTTCTAGGAAGATGGGAGTAGGTCTACTTTTTCCTATCTCTGCCACTAAGTACAACTAAAACCCCTAGACGTTATATAAGACAAACAGAAAGACTTTGAAGGTCTGATGTTTCCAAAAATCAAAATGTTTTCAAACACATTTAAGATATAAAATAATAGCATACGGGTGCCTAGCTGGCTCAGTCGGTGGAGCATGCAACTCTTGATCTTGGGGTTGTAAATTTGAGCTCCATGTTGGGTGTGGAGATTGCTTAAAAATAAAATTTAAAAAAAAGCATAAAATGAGATTTATGCCTATTTTCCACATAAAGCAAAAAAAAAAAAAAATTCAGAAAATTAAAAAAAAAAAAGAAGACTGAAAGGTAGAGAGAAAAAAGCCTGGCTAGGGACCTGGGGGCATGAAGAATAACATGGCAGTGAGTTCTTTTTGCCTCATATATCCTAGACTTGGAGCTAAAGAAGCCAGAAACCCAGAAATGCCAATGGGTACAGACAAAAAGAGCCCAACAAAGGCCTGTTTTCTCTAGCCAAAGGACTACAAAGAGGCCATCTGGCAAGACAGAAAACTTGTTACAATGATGACACCAGCAGATAGTGATATTGTGTGTGTGTGTGTGTGTATACATACATATATATATATGTATATGCTATACAAAGAGGTACACTAAAAAACACTATAGATTAAAAAATAAAATAAAAAACCCACCATAGGTACATAAAAGTGGAATTCTATAAAAAGTTCAAGTAGCCCATAGGAAGGCAAGGAAAATAAAACAAACACAAAAATAGAGATGATAGAAAACAAAAAATAAAATGGCAGGCATAATCTTAACATTTCTTTCTCTTTTTTTTAAGATTTTATTTATTTGACACTGAGAGAGACAGCGAGAGAGGGAACACAAGCAGGGGAAGTGGGAGAGGGAGAAGCAGGCCTCCCGCCGAGCAGGGAGCCCCATGCAGGGCTCGATCCCAGGACCCTGGGACCATAACCTGAGCCGAAGGCAAACACTTAACGACTGAGCCACCCAGGTGCCCCTAATCTTAACATTTCAATAATAACATGAAACATAAAGGTCTGGGTTTTTTTTTTAAGATTTTATTTATTTATTTGAGAGAGAGAGAGAGCACAAGCAAGGGGAGAGGCAGAGAGAGAGGGAGAAGCAGACTCCCCACTGAGCAGAGAGCCCCGATGCGGGACTCAATCCCAGGACCAGGAGATCATGACCTGAGCTGAAGGCAGACGCCCAACCATCCGAGCCACCCAGGTCCCCCAAAATATAAAGGGCTTTAATACACCAATTAAAAGAGGCTGGTAGATGGGGCACCTGGGTGGCTCAGTTGGTTAAACGTCTGCCTTTGGCTCAGGTCATGATCCCAGAATCCTGGGATCAAGTCCTGCATCGGGCTCTCTGTTCAGTAGGGAGCCTGCTCCTCCCTCTTCCTCTTGCTCTGCCTACTTGTGCTTTCTCTCTCTGTCAAATAAACAAATAAATAAAATATTAAAAAAAATAAAAGAGGCTGGTAGAGTGGATTAAAAAACATAACCCAACTATACACTATCTAAAAGAAACTCATTTCAAATATACAAGTATAGGCTAGTGGAAAGTTAAAGGATGGAATAAGTTA